AACATTCATTTTATTAACATAATTTCTTGCACTTTTTTTGTCCACACCAGATGCTTAGTTGTAACAAGTGACAGCAAATTTCCTCAAATATCCAAAAAACTTTGCCAATATTCTTAGCAACAACACAGTAAACAGTTCCAGTCCTTCATTAAATCTCCATTTCTTTCAATCTCAGCTCTAGTGTTCTGTTTGCAGTTTATGCATCACCTTGGTCTTCTGAACAGGAGTAAAGGTTTATCCCATGTTTCCAGTTCTTTCTAAAGTCTTCTAATTCTCTTTCACTCCCAGTAGCCCCTTGCATCTTTGTGGCATTACCACCTTGTACAGATTTTTGGAGTGATTATCAGCTTAAAAAAATGGAATCTATGACCCAAGTTCAAAATACTTATATCATTTTTAGACTTATATCCTCAGAAAAGGCAGAAATCTGACTATCTTTGAGTTATGCTCTACCTCCAGCCTCATATTATTAATATTTTTTAAGCAAGGTCATCACCGCAAGGTCATAAAAGCCACTATGACAAGGGTTTACAGAATTATATAAATGAAAATAGTAACTTAAAAAGTTATTCATACCAACAATAAAGATGCTGGAAAAATGGTTGGTTCTTTTTACCATATCAGAAAGTACCAAACTCTTCCTGACCTGCTCTATCATTACAAAAGTCAGATTAGACCAAAAATGGAGCATTACTGCTATATCAGGACTGGGTGCTTCTCAGTCCTCACTGTCCAGCCTTGACAGAGTTCAAAAGCATTTATGCAACCAAATGAGTGACGAACCGTTTTCCACCCTGAGACTCCTTCCTTTCCTCAAACAAAAAGCTGCTCACTTCTCACTACTATCACTATTCTCATGGAACATGTTCAGATGAGCTACATGCCATAGTTTCACCTGTTCACAGCTAGGACCCGCTATGTTGCAGACAATGAGTCAAATCAGCCTCATTCCCTTTTGTATTCCATTTGTAAGGACGATGTTCCACTTGGGCAGCTTCTTCCCCAAAACTCTGTCTTTGTGGATCAGACTCCCAAGTGGATGCTTCCCTGATCACTACAACTGTAACTTCTTCAAATCTAGGGTTAACTGCTATCTATCCTATATATGCTTTTAATAAGCACTCCTTACTTCCTTCCTTTAAGACCTTACAAGAATCTCATTTAGTAACCTTCTACCTTAAGTGCACCTTGGGCATTCGTGAACAAAAAAAAAAAAATTCAAAGGTAACTTCCTTGACAAATCAACAACGGGGAGATTTACACCTAAAACTCAGTGTCTGGATGTTAACGTTCTAACCATTTGGCCATTACCCACACCATCTTTTATTACAGGATATAATTTCTAATTTAATAAAATAATTACTATCTCACATGCCTGCTGAAAAGTATTTTTCTGATATTAATTTTTAATTTATCTTTATTATTGGTTTTATCAATATGTATGTGTCAATGTTCTAAGTTTTTCATCTGCTTATTGTTCAAGTAAATGGTACAATTCTCTCTGAAATGTTTCTTGGGTTTTGATTCTATTTATACCGATTTTCTGCAAGAAGAAATGATTATTTCTGCTCTTACACATTAAACATGGTCAGTTCAATTAGTACAAAATGCTTCAAAATAATTGCCTTGTACAAAACTTACAAATTCTATGTAAAAACTCTGAACTATAGGTTTTTCACCATTAGAAACAAAGAAAAAAGTACTGAACTGATATCTGTCCTACTGTATGGCAGTGAATGCTGGACAATTTCCTCAAAGATGAAGAAGAGACTTAAAGTAACAGAAATGCGGTTCTACAGAAAAATGCTGAGGATACCATGAACCAAACATCTGAGCAACAATGAGGTTTTAGAGAAAATCGAAACAAAAAGAAAACTTATAATTAACTTCAGGAAGAGACAGTTGAAATTTTAAGGGCACATAATGAGGAAAGAGGGATTGGAAAATCTGTTACTTGCAGGATGGATTGAAGGCACAAGAAACAGGAAAAAAACAACATATTGATGAGCTTGCAAAAATACAAATCAGAACAGGGTTTAAAAATTAAAAAGGCAAAATTTATTTAGTGCTACAAGGGACAGGAAATTGTGTAGTCATGATAACCTACATCATAAAATAAATTATATATATATATATATATATATATATATATATATATATATATATATATATATATAATGTATATTTGGGCAGCACCCTTTCTTTTAAACATCTTTCATTAAATATGACAAACAAGAAAGATTTAAGTAATTTTTTATTTAGTATTTCCAGCATCTTTATGTTTTGAAGGAGTAAGAGAGTATAGAAATTTTCCATAATTTTCATTCTCCAAAGTGCTTTGAAAATGGCTAAAGTGGCCGAAAGCACTTACTCCTTCAAAAACAGAAAAACATAAGGATGCTAGAAAAACTAAATTAAAAAAAAAAAAAAAAATTAAATCTTTCTTGTCGGCCATATTTAATGGAAGAAAAGATATTATTTTTACATATACATATATATATTTTTACAATATAAATAAGATGCAAATTTATATATTTAACAAAATATAGATATTTAACATTTATGAACTTAATTTTAAACTATTTAAACTCAACATAAATTTTTAATCCTCTCCACCTACCCACACAGACAAATATATGAGTGTCTGTGAAAACAGCATTGTCTGTCTCATGACTATAAGAGGCCTGCATATTTCCTACCAGTGCCAGTGTTAAACTTAAATAAAGATAATTTTCAAGGCAGGCCAGCCCTCTAAACTAAAAACTGGTGCAACATAGTCTTCCTATGTCTTCATCCATTTGACACTGAAAGACAATGTTTAGAAAATAACTATGTTAATTAAATTTTTAATGAATAAAATTTAAAGAAATATTAGAAAAATAAAACAAGATAAATTAAATTAGTTATTTCCATTAGAATTAATAAAATTATTAAAATTTACCTTTTTTGACAATGATTTTTGATGAATCAATATGATTAAACAAGGTTTGAAATGAGTTTCTTTTTTAAGAAGATCACCTTAGCCACCAGAACTGTGTTACCTTCCCTCGTTGGTGGTTAATGAGGGCAGGGTATCACATGTATGTAGAAAAGATGTTTCATTGTCAACATTTTAAACAATTTAATAATATAGAGAGAAATCTTAAAAATCAATAAATCATATGATGTCTATGTTTCATTCATTTTATTAAATGTGTACAAATGTTTAAGTGTTCACTTTTCTTTAATAAAAAAGAAGTTTTATATTGTGCAATCAGTGTCAAGATTTACAAAATGAAAAGCCAGGATGCCAAACTCGTTAACATATCTCAGAAAAATAAGTGATACAAACAAGTGATGAAAGGGTTTTTTATTGTTAAACTTCATTCTTTTTGCTAAGTTCAAATCATATTCCCAACTGAATTGATTTCACTAGTAATTCACAATTTCAGCAAAAAATTTCAACTCTGCATAATTCCATTTAAAATTCTTCACTTGCAAATTACCATTTAAAATTCCTTGCTTCAAATACAATATTTCAAATTTAGAGTCAATGGTTGTTATATAAATAACAAAGTGGACATTGAAGTCAACACCCACCTGTGAGTGTTTCATGCTTAAATACAATCCTTAGCCCATCTTAAACACAACCAGGCCTGAAGATTACATTTAAGCATGAAACAGACTGGATGTTGGCTTCAATGTCCACTTTTATATTTATATACTCTCTATCCCTAATATTGAGCACTTAACCCATAAATATAGAACACCTTAAAACTATATTTCATATATATATATATATATATATATATATATACATACACACACACACTATGAAACCCTGATGAGTGAATATATTCTCCATGAAACTCAGAGTACAGACATAAGTGAACATTTGTTTTTATTTGCTGCTACTCTCACTCTCTCTCTCTCTATATATATATATGGGGGGAGGGTGTATAGAAAAGTCTTTCAATTAAGATAAATTTAATCAAAACCTATATATAATTAAATTTTCTTGTTTATATGCTAAAGAATGTAAATCTGCATCTAAAAGTTGTAAAATATTTGCAAAGACCTGCACGTATACTTTACCTCATTACCAAAAACCATGGGGAAAAAAAAACAAAAAAAGCAAAAAAAAAAAAAACATGGATGTTCTTCACTTTTAGCCACTCATATGGCTAACACACAATCATCATAACATGCATCACAGATGTGTTTTAATAATGATGCAACTGATGGCCGGGGGGGGGGGGGGGGTTGGGGGGTGATCTACACACAAAACTCTTCATTGATCCAAATGTATCATTCAGATTATGAATACATTTTGAGTCCCAGTTCCTAATCTTCAGATTTCAAAAATTTCAAGAATCTCAAACGTTTGTTACAATTAATACCAAGTTAGGCATACATTTTTATAGAACTTCTTATATTTATCTAAATAATTGCAATTTTCAGGTTTTTCTCTTATATATATATATATATATATATATATATATATATATATATATAGAAAAAGCTGCTCTATTAAGTGGGCCTTCATTACAATAGGTAAGGAAAAGTAGATGTGATAAGTAACAAACTACAGAAGAACCCAAGATTGATCGCTGCATTTAAGTGTTACATTAATCCTTCTGCTGCCACCTAATTTAAAGACAATTTGATGTACATAGGTACTTACTTTCTGTACAAACAATTATTTTCATTTTATGGGTGACTTTCGCTGGACTTTGCAATTAATTTTCATTATTCCCAAATTTATTGCAAAGTTATAAAAATTGTTATTGCACAAAAAAGAAACATGTCACAAAATATCACTGAAAACGATACTCTATTGTTTGTTTTTTTGCAAAACAAAATCTGTTGTTTTATAAACATGAGTTTACTTTGCTCTATAGACTTAAATATGTAAATTAAAAGTGTGATTCCTTATTCTTTTGCCAATTTTTAATATTCAAGCCACAATGTCACTAAACAAAAGGGGATAATAACATGGGAATTAAATCAAATTTACTTACCATTGTCAGGCCCTTCTTTTCATGAATCTTTTTTTCATCAATTCCATCCTTGATTTCCTACAAAAAAAAGAAAAAAACAGCAAACATTACTATAATAATAAATAACATCAAATAAGGCACTAAATACATAACATTTTACCAGAAACCACTTAGATCTTTCTTATTGCTATATTCTTTGAGAGAGACAGGGTCTGCAAAAAACATTTCTGATATAGCATTAAAGTGGAGGTGGGAGGAATGGAACCGTTTTTTTTTTTTTAAGGAAAGAAAAGTCAAATATTCCTGACAGATTAGTTTGCTGTGTTTATTTACATTTAGCATCCTATAGCAAAACATTTTTGAATAATCTGGTCTCAAGGTAAAACTGCTTACAGGCCTTAGATAAAATATATATATATATATATAAGTCTATGGTCGAATATTAGAAAAAGTAAAAGATTTGCTTCAAGTTTCTAAGAAGATGGATTCAATTTTTTTTTTTTTTTTTCTTAAAGGAAAGCTTTCCCACAAAACATTCAAATTAATTTTATCAATTCAGAGAAAAATATACAAAAGAAAGTGTGCTCAAAACAATAATTACTTTTTGCTTTTCGTTAATTTACAAATAATTTTTAATCTGATTTATAATAAGCAACATCATCTACCAAAAAAAAAAAAAAAAGTGTGGTTTCATTTAATCTTTTATGAAATTCTCAAATGAGCTTTTAACCATTGGGAATCAGAAAAGAATGCACTTGACATTAAATATTTTAAAAATATATCAAATGGACGACAAAGAAAAAAAACTCATGTCATCATCTTCATTTTTTTTTACAAAAATGTTCACATCAAAATTGGTGGATAATTGAATGACAAAACGGAAAAAAAATCCTATGTGACATTTTTCATCTTTTGAAAGGTCTTTAAATTAAATGTTTCTACTGATGGAATCATATATAGCTTTGGGGGAGGAAAACAAAATAACAAATATTGGTTATAATTATACATCAAGAGAAAGCCTGAAGTTGCATAAACATTTAACTTTAAATTTTCAATTTCTAGCATGCAATGTGTCTAGATGCACAATGTAGCTAAACTATTTCAGCTTCCTTGCTACAAGTTTTGTTTTTGTTGCTGTTATTTTTAAATATGTAACATTGTAAGAGAAATAATTTTATTAAAAGAGATATGCTGTATGATCCTGGACATGAATTTACAATAGAAGACTCAGAAATTACTGCACTTTTTATACATTTTCACCTTAATAAATTACTCTCTTTTAATTAAAACTGCATTCTTTAAATCAAACTTTAGACTTATTACAATGAATAACTAATACATTTTTGTGTTGTTTCATAAAAACCCTTTTACATGCATATATTCTTTTATTTAAATTCCTAGATGTTTCACCTATGTATTTGTTTGTACTTTCATGACAGTTCTACAGCAGCATTTCTCAACCTCTTACCCTTGCGAAACCCTTGAAATAGTTTTCATGTCTCATGGAACCCCTTCTAGTGTAGCATTGCTGCTCAGACCAGACACCATGTTTGTTCTCAAGGTGCAGCTTCTTCCAGTCAAACACTTGTGACTTAAAGAATAAACCTTTGGGCAGATCATTTAACCCATGGATTAATACCATGATAATTTGTATCATTTTATGCTATATATATATATATATATATATATATATATATATATATATATATATATATATACACACACACACACACAGAGGCAGAACCCTATCCATAACATACTTGTTCACAACACAAATATAATGGCATCATCTACATGCAAATAAAGGTTACAAATAATGGAAGCCTTATTAATAAAAACAACAAAAAAAACAATACTCAATAATATCAACTATGAACATGGGCACAATATCTTGACAGTGTTTTGTAAATGAAAACATAAATACATACAAACTATTTCTTGTTAACAATTAATATATTTCAACCTTGAAAATGGATAAATGTATAGCTGAAAGCACTCAGATAAAAAGAATAATTAGACAGTTTTTATATAATTTATCATCCAAAAAGATCACGAGAAATTGTATAAAAACTAAATCAAAGCACCTTGTCTGTCGTATTCAACGAAACGTGCATGAAAGAAGGATTGCTGCCTAAATATATATATATATATATATATATATATATATATGGGAAAAGAAAAAATGATATATAATCATTTATCAAAAAATGATATATAATTATTTATCAAAAACAATTTTAAGGAAGAAACTATGGCAAAGCGACAAAAGCTTTTGTGTGATGCGTTTCATCCTTTATGAACTAAAGCAATAGAAACATGAACAAAAAGAAAAAGAAACTAAATGAAACCGGCTAGACTATATACCGAAAACATAAAAAAAAAAAAAATTTAAATTTAAAAATTGTCAGTGTCCCCTCCCCTTTGTTCTTGTGTGTAGTTGCATCAAAGGTAATATCACTTTAGTCCAATGAAGCCCTAAAGAGCAAAACTCGTCACATGAAAACTTTTTCTACTTGTCATGGTTTTTTTGGCCTTATATATATATATATATATATATATATATATATATATACTACATACACACACAAGACAGTGCTTAAGCATAAATTTTAGGAGGAAGTCTCTTTTAGCAAAACCAAGAAGTTTCTAGCCAGCTCCCATTATGTATGCAATTTTTTTATGTGTGTGGTGAGTGGATGCGCATATGTTTGTATTTACTTGCTTGCATGGATATATATATATTATATATATATATAGATAGATTTGTGTGTGTATATAAGAGCGAAAAATGAAGATGTATGCAAGCCAATAAACCCGATTATGGTTTTACTTTAGATTTTTATCACTGACCACAAATAGTGAATGTATTTCTAGATGAAGACAAAATGGTTGAATACATAATTGCCAAGTAAATGCTTCCAGCCATTCTCAGTTCTTAGGTTTATTACAGTTACAGAAGACAAGACACAGACAAATAGTGGAAAACTGCTTCCAACACCCAATGACAATAAAAGAGGAACTGATGAAAACAATATTGCTTTCTTCCAAGTTTACACTTTAATGCAAACACTAAACAGAATAAAAATAAAATAAAAAAAAATTTAAAAAAATTAAGTTCAGGGTTGGGCACACTGCCAAGCAAAATGTTGCATCCAAAAGTTAAATTTCATCGATCTGAAAATGAGGCTTCTTTAAGCACTCTCCTTGAAGCTAAAAATATTAGATGTTTTTTTTATAAACTACAGAAAAAAAATCTCTACCCCCACCTGCCACATTTCCAATGAAAGAAGAAATTGAATCAACAAGTATATAGGTATAAAAAAAAAAAAAATAAAAAAAAAATGGTATAAACAACAAAAAAGATAAACTGAATGACCTCTTAATGTGATTAGGCTGTATATAAAATATTTTTTTTGCCTAAAATATTTTTGTAGCAGCTTAGACAAAAATAAGAACAATTTTTCTTTACAATTTACAAAGTAAACATTTCAAAAACAGTTTTGTCTTTTTTTTTTTTTATATGCGAAGGAGTGCAGAGAAGTCCACAACCTGGCCCACTTCCCAAAATCTGACCAATCAGGTTTTTTTTCAGATAGACACTAGGCATGTTTATCCCAAAATTTATTTTTCAAATATCAACAAAATAATGAAAACCAGATTGCTTGGAATATATAACTAAAAGAGAGAAAACAAGCAAATAAAATTTTAATCAAAGTTATCCACAAATTAATGAACACAGTTTAATTAGAATGAAAGAAAAAATTAACTGTAAAATTTGAAGCCTGAATGTGTTACAAGAACAGAAAGGAATATAATTAACATTATCATTTACTAAAGATTTTTTTCTAGTTTCTTTTTTCTATATATATATATTATATATATATATATATATATATATATATATATATATATATATATACACACACACACAGGTTGAGTATCTTTTATCTGAAAACCTCCAAAATCTGAAAGTTTTTCAGGTGACTTGCCACAAATGGAATATTTCATAAAGCCCAGCTCTGTAGCCTATGTTGGCGCCAGTTTTTTGTTAGCGATTATCACAGCAAAACCTTCGTTCATGGATTACTTACCAGGTGTTTTGTGCTCAGTAAAGATATTATCCAAAATGTTAAAATGTCCTGCATTTATATATTTTTGTCAATAGTGATCATCTTTTTTGTACACATAGAGAAAGTACAAAACATTATCTTAATTTCAACACTTAAAAATCTGTGTAAACATTACATGACTAGCATTATTACTTGTATCTGTATGTACATGAAATTTATTAAATTTTATATAAAACTACTTTTAGGGTATATGTTATTTATATAAAACTACCTCCAGGGTATAAGCTGTGTTATGAAATGTAAATGGATATTGTGTTTATTGGGTTCCATTCCCAAGCTGCACCATTTTATAGATGTTAGATAGAAATTAAATTGCCTGTATTCCAAAATCTGAAAAGAAATCTGAAAACCAAAGCACTTTCATTCTGGCCACAACCAGAAGCAAAAGAACAATTCTGGCCAGAATCAATATTTACATTACTTTAAACCACCAAAAAATAATGCCATTTTACTGTCGTGGAGAAACAAAATTATATACAGCCTAATTTTGTTTTTTGATTTCTAATGAGATTAAAAAGATCATACATGTTGCAGAGACCAACACCCTCACAAAACATATTGAAAAAAAAGTAACAGTTGGTGATGCATATTCAGTTAGACAAAGGGCTTGATTCATGAATCAAATGCAACAATTAAAGTTTAAAATACTGGCCCCCATCACTAATAACACAGGTATATGTGAGAATAAAACCAATTAAAAATATAGGTGGTGTGTCATTAACATAGCTCCAAAAATATTTTAGTATAAGTGTACAAAAATACTAGATTTTCAGATAGGCTGTTGATGTGATGAAATTTCTCTGAAAGTACAATGTTATTCTTGATGTCTTGGATTATGGTACTGACCCACAGCTTCTTGCATAAGGGTGGGTGCGTGTGTATGTGTAAGTTAAGTTGAAATTATAAGTTAAACTTCAGCTTGAAAACAAATGAAGGCAAAGTTGGAAGCATTTGGTAACAAAGTTTTATCTGGGCTTAATTCACTCAATCCTCTTTTAAAGCTTTCTCAGTTATCTGAACAATTTCTGGAGAAATGCCCAAGGTTCAATCAAAGATTGATGTCTATTTACTTTAAATGTGACAGTCACACAATGTACAAGAACATTCAATAGTATTTTACTGCTGACTGTGTAACCCCATGTGAGAGTGTTTATGCAAATGGAGTAATATCTCTTCTGATTGGCTTCCAAGTTATATCAAGACTCTTCAAACAGCGTTATTAAAAAATGGACAGAATATTTATGGATAAAGTACATATGAAATCAAAATAGTTATAAAGTCCTTCAATCCTTTTAGATTTCAATGAAGTGGTGAAGAAAAGTTCATGATTCAGTTATGAATCCTTTCAAAAAACAAAAAGATTTCTGATGCTTGGTCTTTTGGTCCGATCTTGGGTAGTGAGGTGGGCTGACAACTTTTCAACACCATCCTGTACAGATGAGATAACCACTTAATAAAATTATATAAAAGCCCAATTCTATTTGTAGAGTATTTTGATCTCTGTGGTTCTGACTTTTCATATTTATATTTTTCAGATAACTTCTTTTCAAATAATGGATTGGTAGAGGCAATTCCAATGTATTTGGAGGCAGAAATCTTTATCTACTCATCAGAATCTTGATCTATAGATGCACAAAATATCAGATTAACAAACCCAATTTGATATCAGTGCATTGATTTTGTAAGGAATTCTGAAAGACAAGTATTAATTTAATAGATGGATCAACAAAAATAGCTACCACATTGAAGATGGCTGACATGTTGAAATGTGATAATTAAAAATTGCATTAAAAAAGAAGCTTAAAGATTTTAACTTTAGCAGAATTTTTATTAAGTATTTCCATGATTTTCATATATTTACTTATAAAAAACATGGAGCAAATATTTTTGTTCCTGTGTATAGAGTATAATCTGGTATTAAATTTTTGAATGGCTAGGAAAGTAATTTGAATCTAATCTTCTTGAGAAGATAAAAAAAACATGTTTCTGAGCAAAAAGCAACTGTAGATAATAACAATAATAATGCTAAATAGGACAATCAATAAAGTAGCAAGAATATATAAGGGGAAAATAACTTCAGCAGTTGAAAGAGAAGCTGTAAAAATGTATACATCTATAACGTTTTTTGTTTTTTTTGCCTAAAAGAGTTGCAAGCAAAACTAAAATGAAATATTAAGATATTTTCTATAAAAATAAAAAAAATATAGATGAAAAAATTCCAAATGTAAAATCAAAAAAAGAAAATCCTTTACAAGATAAGACAACTGAATTAGGACAAGTTGGGAATCATTTTTTACCAAATGCTGCTCTGACAAAGTAACTTTTAGCAACGAGTTTTACTCCAACACAATGAAAAAGAGATATGGGCCTTGGAATTCAATACAGTAGGACACATAAGCAAGGAAAGTTAATCATCTCTCTCACACACACACACCCCCACAATTAAAAAAAATAAAGTTCACACTCTCAGATTTTTTCAATATCTAAACTATTTTGACTAATTTGTATGTCAATGATCTTTTAGGTAAAGTTGGTAACTTTAATTTGAAGAATATAAATTGATTTCACCTGATTTGCAAAGCAGATATATAAATAAACTCATTAAAACCTATTTGAAATATCTTTTACATAAAGTTTTCAGCCCTATTTGTTCAATGAAACCAATTAACCTTAAAAGAAAATGTCAATCTTTGCTTCAAGAACACCTTGATCACTTTAACAACAAAAATACTAAGATGTAGATAATGGTTCAATAATGTATATCTCATATAGAATTTAGAATAGTATGCAGTCAACTTAAATATAATATTTAACACTCAAAAATTGAGTGAGAATTTTCAGTTTTCATATCTTAATTTTCTGATTAATCTTAACTCTTAACTTAAGGATTTACTAAACTCCTTGCAAGTTCCACATCTATAAACTAATTGCGGAAATTCCCCCATTGCATCGTTAAATATTTGAGCTTAACAACTTTAACAAAATATTACAATCATAGATATGAATGCAGATTATCTAAAGAAGTAAGAGGGTACAAATGAAAAGATTAAAAATTGACACAGTTTTCCACTTCACTGAAGCAGATGTTAAACTCATGGGAATGTTATCACCTCCTCTATCTTCCCTTTCATTCTTTCTATCCTTTTATCCCCTATAACCAAACAGCACCTTTGATATATCTTTTCTTCTGTCTATCCGTGAAATCAAACAGGAATGGCCCATTATTTATCTGAGGCAATGGCAGGGCATAATGTACATGCTAACTAAAGTAACAAGCAAAATAATATGATCTTTAACTGAATGCTCTTATGCATTCTTTAAATAATCCCATTTTATAAAATGGACATACATCTGAAAACATGTCAAAAAGGAATTTGTTTTCTTAAATAAAATAGAAGCAAAATAAAAAAAAAAAAACTAATAAAAAATTTTTAGACATATTTTTAAAACTAAGATCAGAAAAATTGCATTGAAAATGGCTGAATGCAGAAAGGATTTTTCAGTACAGCCACATTGCTACCAAATGTGACACAAGGTCAAGGTTGTCTAAATGCAGGAGAACAATTTCTGAAATGCAATTAAGAGATGGTTTCAACAAACGTTGAAGGTAGCAATGTGAAGAGGTTTCCTGAACAAGACACCATACTTCATCTTCAGTCTGTAGCAGAAACAAGCCACAAAACAAATCCTTACTTGTATTAATTAGTTTATTTTTCATTATATTATTGTTGCTTTTTATCCCAATATTCAAGTCGTTTTTATATTCTATGATAGTTTTTAAGTAAACCATATAGAATGGGAATAAAATAGCCATATCGAATAGACTTACTAATTTGTTCACCGAGATACACCAACAAACTTAAGATAAAAAATAATGAAAATGATTCTTTAAAAAATTAAAACTGAAAACTTTTCTTTTGAGAAATAAAGCAGTTTTACACTGCTTAACACAAATGAAAAACCGACTTGAAGCAACAGAAATGTGGTTCTACAGATGCTGAGAATATCATGGACTGAACATGTGAGCAAGAACCAAATTTTAGAGAAAATGGAAACGAAAAGGACACTTATACTTAACAGAGACAATTGAGGTTCTGGGACACATAATGAGGAAAGAAGGCTTGGAAAATTTGATAAGACAGATTGACAGTAAGAGAGTGAAAAGCAATGTACAAACTACTTGGCAAGCTTGAGAGAATGGATGGCAGAGCAGAGTATGGGAGAGATGGCAAAAAGATAAAGAGCTACAAGGGACAGAAAATTGTGGAAAGCCATTATCACCAATGTCCTGAAGGGACACGGCATGTACAACACAAAGGTTTATTACAAGTTCAGCTCCATATGGTCATCAAATAAATTAGATCGTTCATCATTAAATATGACAGACAAGGAAGACTTATTGTTTTTCTACTTATTTTTTTTTTTTTAATTTAGTTTTTCTAGCATCCTTATGTTTTTCTGTTTTTGAAGGAGTAAGTACTTTCGGCCACTTTAGCCATTTTCAAAGCACTTTGGAGAATGAAAATTATGGAAAATTTCTGTACTCCCTTACTCCTTCAAAACATGCTGGAAATATTAAATAAAAAATTACTTTAAATCTTCCTTGTCTGCCATATTTAATGAAAGATGTTTAAAAGAAAGGTTCCTGCCCAAACTTTTTATATATATATATATATATATATATATATAACGACAATAGGAAAACTGTATTAGTCGACACATTTTGTCCAATGTAGACTTTTTCAAGGCAAAAACGAAATTGAATTTATTTTGTTTTTGCCTTGATAAAGTCGACATTGGCTGAAACATGTCAGCTAATAATACAGTTTTCCTATTGTCTTTTTCTACAAGTTAACTGAGAATTTTTTCTCATATATAATTTATTTTATAATGTAGAACATTTTTTTTATGCACCATGTCCCCTCAGGTCATAGGTGAACATGGCTCTACACAATTTCCTGTCCCTTGCAGCACTAAATAAATTTTGTCTTATTTCTAAACCCTGTTCTGCCATCTGTTTTTGTAAGCTCATCAAGTATGCTATGTGTTGTTTTCCTCTGTCTTTCTTGCCTTCAATCCATCCTGCAAGTAACAGATTTGTCCAAGTCCTCTTTCCTCATGATATGCCCTAGAAACCTCAACAGACTTTTTCTGATGTTAAGTATAAATATTCTTTTTCTTTCCATTTATACTTAGAAAGTGACAGTTGAATTTTTTTGGATATATACAGTAAGAAAGAAAATTTTAAATACTTGGAAAGTATGTTTGAATCATAAAAGAACCAAGTTACCAGATTAAAAATAATGATAAAAAGATTCAGAATATTGTATTCTTTTTCTTACCTGTTGCAATTTCTCTATATTTTCATTCAGTTGCCTTATTTCATTTTGCTGTTTAGTTTCTTTCTGCTTGTATTCCTGTCAAAAGAAATGGTATTCAATCATTATTCAAAGACAATTATGTTTCCGTTCTTTTGTCTGCTACAGCAATTTTATTTATTTAACACAAATGAAACAGACAATCTATGTTGTTATAATTAATTACATCATCTTCCCCAACATCATTTTCTTAATCACCGTTTTTGTCAATAACAAACATTGAATATTTTACTAAAATTAACTGCAATTTCTACAGGTGTATTTATTACATTTCTCTTTTGTAGACTGAAAATTTTGACTGAAATCATGAAGTGAATGATTTGGATGAAAATAAAATATTTAAGAAAAGTTTTCAAGACAGTATTTAATAAAACCAAGAAAAAGTTTCAAACAAGATAAATATACAAAATAGAGAGAAAGAAAACAGAATTGCTTCAATACTTAGGGACTTTACAAAATATATACACTGCGTGCCAAATTATTATCGAGATAACTTTTTTTTCTAATATTTCAAAAACTGTCCAATCAATTCACACAAAATTTTCACACAATATTGGCAACACTGACCTGTGCAATCACTGAAATTATCGTACTGATCTGCGCAATGTAAACAAACTGGCGCCATATTTGTTATCAGCACAGTGATTTGAGCATGCCAAATTATTAGAAAAGTATAAGAATTTAGTGAAAAGATGGGCCGTAAAAGCAGTTTAAGTGATGCTGAAAAGAAAACTATCACATCAGAACTCTCCAAAGGTAAATCTACCCTAGAAATTTTTAAAATGATAGGGAAGTGTCATCAAACAGGGAAAAATTCACTGCCGACCCTACACAAGTACACAAAAGGGCATATAAAGGCAAGCCGAAGGTTATTTCACGTCGTTTCATGTCACGACTTAAACAAGAGACCACGAAGAACCCTGGACTTACCAGTCAAGAGCTTTTCAGTCGTATTGGGGATCCTACTGTGTCTAAAAGTACTCGTTGTCGGTATCTGAAGGAAATAGCAACAACAGTGAAACCTGTATCGAAGTCTCCTTTGACAAGAAATCACATTCAAAATCGATTGAAATGGGCCGAGGACAATATGAAGATTGACTTCTCTAAAGTTCTGTTCACAGATGAAACTCAAGCAACACTTGATGGGCCAGATAGATGGTGCAAAGGCTGGGTAATGAACGGACAGAATCGCCATCAGTGTTTGAGACACCAACAAGGTGGTGGAGGCATAATGATCTGGGTTGGTATTATTGGAAACACATTAGTGGGCCCATGGAGAGTATCAGATGGCGTCAAAATGACTGCTGATGCATACATAGCATTTATGAAGGAGCATCTTGAACCGTGGATGAAAAGGCAAAGAGTTGCCTTCAGAAGGGTCATTGTTTTTTATTCAAGATAATGCTCCCTCACACGCTGCTCACAAGACTACTGAATATTTGAAACAGTTAGGCTTCGATGGACCTCGAAAAATGAAGTAGCCAGCAAATTCTCCGGATTTGAACCCAATCGAAAACCTTTGGAGCATCATGAAGCAAAGACTGTACATCAACGGATGACAATTCAGGAGCAACACTGAGTTGCGGGAAGCAATTCTTGACATATCCCGCGGCATTACAGCAGATGACATCATACAATTAACAAATTCTATGGATCGTCGACTTTTTCAAGTAATTTCAAAACAGGGAAAGCACATTCCCTATTAATTTGTTTAAAACTGTGCCTTTGTATCTGTTATTATTTGTTTGATTATCTTATTTCTGAAGATTGTGTTTAAGGATAAAACAGACTGCCACTACTGAGTGTTGACTTAAATATTACTTTGTGTTATTTTTAGAGGATACTTGTATTTGAGTAGACACTTTTTAAATAAAGAAAAAAAATAAGAAAAAAAAAAACAGTATTTATGTCATCTAAAGGCCTTCATACTTGAGAAAACCTATTACAAAATCTGGATTTGAATCTGCATCCCACTTTGCAAGAGAAACCACCATTTTATCCAGCGTGATTTAATTACCCAGCTATGAAGAGCTTGACAATCAAGCTTGGCTCTATTTGCCTTTTAAAGCACACTCACTCATCCAGATTTTCACAAAATGGCATATGTGCTCATTTTCAGATCCAAAATGTAAATCAAGCAATTTCTAAAAAAAAATCAATGGATTTTAATTTTTAATCCAACCTATTTTTATTACTGCAAATGATTTTTTTAGTGGATACCCATATTTGAGTAGATGCTCCATTTTTTTTTTTTTTTTAAAAACAGTATTTATTTCATCTACCAACTTACACACTTGAGAAAACATTAACAAAAATGTTCCCTCTGGCAGGATTCAAACTTGCATCCACTGGGGTGGCACATTTTCTTTAATAGTTTTCTCAAGTTAGCAGGCCAGGTTACAAAATAAATACTGTTTAAAATAAAATAAAAAATGAAGGCTGTATCATAGTCTGACACAGTTATTACATCAATCTTAATCTGAAATGTTTAATCTATAGGTTTAATGAGCAAGCATTGGATTAAGTGATTTGACAAGGAAAGAGAAAATAAATGCTTTTTTCAACATTTTTTTTTAAGGTTTTGAATTTATTGTTCTGCATATATAAAAGTGTAAGAGAAAAATGATTGGCCACTGTCAAGACTGACAACAGAAGTAACAGCTTGTAACTTCCTCTTCCTGGGCAGGTATGGCTAAGATGCTTAGGGGAGACTCATTCACTCACAACTTTCTCCATCCAGCATCTTCCGTAATAATCATCAGGGAATGCCAGTAGCCAAAAATTTACGAAAATTTCTCCATTTTTTTTTCCTTTTCTCATTTTTTTCTCACTTAAAAGTACAGGCACAAATAATATTTCAGATAAACCAAACATTTTTCACTGCTTATTATATCAACAAGAGAATTTTTCAAACTGGCCAAACAATGCATATTTTCATTTTCTTAGATGTGATATTCAAGACAAAAATTAATGCTGAAATGTTCTTGCAATTCAACAACAAAAAGAAAATTGCAGAAATAACAGATGTTTAAAAATGTAATTATTATCTTTGGAATGATTTTTCACAACAGAAAATGATAATTTTTGCCCAAATCAATAAATTCAACCAAAAAGTTCAGAGTTCTGGTCAGAAATAATCATTTCTAAGAATAAAATGAAAACAAAAAAAAAATGTTTGATAATTTAAACATTGCAACAAAAAAATGATTTAAAATTAATTCAAAAACTGTATTAACCCTGACAATTAAATTTAACAGCCATGACTACTGACCATCTCTTTGCTTCTAATGTTCAATCTATTTCTACAGTTGAATACCAATATATTTATATTACAGATATAATAGCCCTATTCTGTCAGTAACGCTTGCAGTAATTACTGACCACTGACAATCCCTTTCTTACTGATTTTGAATGCACAGCATACAGACTGAATGTTAAATTCAATCTGTATTCAAGTTGCCAGAACAAATTTTAAATAAAAAAAAAATAAACTCTTTGACAGAAAAAAAATAATTGCCATATCAAAAGTTAATAAAGTTTGCATTTAATAATAGCCAGAACATTTAAGTTATATCTTCTCTATCTTTTTCTTCATTTGGAATTTGCAACCACTCCTTAGGATCAATCTATTCAGTTGAACTTCCAAAAATAAATGCAAAAAAATTAAAACAAATTCCTATGATTGTTTGCAATCTTTGAAATTCATTTTTTCTTCTTTTGGTTCAAGATTTTATAATTCGCGAGAAATGCTGTGAGATTAAAATAGATCTTCCTCCAAAATTAAGAAAAAAAAATATTTTCTTTTAAACATTTATTGGCAAGGATAGCTTTGTCTGGGATTATATGAGAGCTGAAAAAAAAATTTAAAATACATTTAATTACACTTTGTTTGGACAAGGTATTTCCAAAAATGTTCTTTCAGTCGGACTAGTTCACCTAAAACAGATTGTCATACATTTATCAATAAAGGACATTAAAAACATTTTGTGGCTGGACGATACAAAAATGATTGGAAAAATAAAAAAATTTTAAAACCCTGCTTCTTAGATTTGTTTAAAATGTCTTGCAATGCCATCTTTCACAGATCTAATAAAACAGCTGTTTTGTTGGATATTTACAGTTTATTCGATGAACAAAGGCCAACCCATTTGATTAAGTTGTCAAAGGAAAAGCCAATTCTAGTCCATAAAAGTCAATGATCATTGAAAATTTGAAGACAACATCAAAAAAGAGAAAAGAATAAAACATCATTCAAAAAGGAGGAAATTCTGAATCAAAGACTTAGAATAAATAAACGTGTAGACAGAGAAATAAAAATAGTCTTTTTTTCTTTAATTAATGTAAGGAATTGTTTTTTTTTTGTTTGTTTTATTCTTTTTAAGATTTAACATTAATTTTCCTTGTGAAATTCATAATAAACTAAGTGTAATAAAGTGTTTGGTTTCTTACCTCAATCTCTTTCTGAAATTGACTCAACATGTCATCCTTTTCTTTGTGGCTTAATTCTTTGACTTTGGTCAGGGTCTGCTCAAACTCCTGCTTGCTTGTGTTCAAATTAACCTGAAAAACAAAAATTAAGTGTAAAAATGGTGATGTCAGACACAAACATAAAGCAAGAAATAGATAAGTTTGTTTTACCACAAAAATCAACAGTCTAATTTCACAAATCTGTTTGAATTTTATCAAAATATGGCAACCTTTTTTTTTTTTTTTGCCTTCCATCAGTATGCCTGATGCTAACCTTAAAGAGAGTGATTCATTTGCACTTCCTCCAGCTAACATTTTCTGCTAACATGAAGCAGAACAATTATTACTGAATCAATTCCTAGGGTCTGCTGTTGGTTCACCGTATCATGATAGACAATTTTTTTCTCTCCAGAATCTATCCGACACACTCGTAAGTCTACCATTCATCCATGCATTGACTATTGCTGTCACATCTGGTCTGGTGCTTCTGTTCTCTATTTCAAGATTATTGATAAAATCCAAAGAAGAATCTGCAATGTTATCGGTCCTGACCTGGCATCTCAGCTTCAGTCACTTTCTGTAATGTAGCTTCCCTGTACATTTTCTATAAATATTTTCATGGTAATTGTTCTGATAAGCTGTCTTCATTGGTACCTAGACTTTACAAATTTAAACCCAGTACTAGATTGGTGGTAAGGTCTCATCATTTTACAGTCAAAATGTCTAGATATAACTAAGTTCTATGCTAACAGTTTCTTTTTTCCGACTTCTCATTTGTGGAACTCTTCTGGCCATTTGCTTTCCAATTAACTCTGATCTTGAAAAATGTAAATGCAATGTCAATTATACTTTGTCTTCTTAATTCCTGTTTTTTTTTTTTTTGCTGCTCTCTCCTTAATAAGGTTTTTCCTTTTCTCATATTCTTTCACACTCGGTAGCCCTTTGCATCTTAGTGTCCTTATTGCTTTACTCGAGGTGAAATGATTAAAAAAAACAAAAAAGAACAATAAAAACCTGTGCAACCTGAGGGATATGTATATAGTATTTTTAATTCAATAATTCTTATTGCTAATATTTCTTGACAGAAAAACTGATTGATCAATTATCTACTTCATTGATTCTTCATGTTGTTCACAATCCAAACTTCACAGATTTTAAATCAGTGCTGAAATTCTTGAATATAATTGGCAAAAATCTTTTTATACAGATGTCAACACATCACCTGAATATTTTAATTGAAATTCTAATATAAAAATAAACCCCATTTAAAATATCTAATCTTGTATTTTACACTAAATTCAAGGAAAATATGAAGATTCATTGAATAACTTCAATAAATCTTCATATTTTATTTATTTATTAGAAATATCAGTGTAATTCTTACTTCAAAAACAAAGTAGAGCAATATGAGTTAAAGTAAAGAATTCACAAGAGAGAAAAGATAAATCACAAAATGGAACATTCTGAATTTTTATTTTTCATTTCAGTATTTTTAGGATTTCTGTTACTTCTCTATCATTTTCATATTCTGATTTATTTTGTCTTCAGACAATTTTTTTTTTTAAGTTAACGCATGGAATTGGAGAATTTAGACACAAATATGAGGCAATTTACATGCAAAATTGAAAAACAAACCATAGTCAAATGCTGACAAAATATAAATAAAAAAATATGGAATTAGAAAAGTTAAATAAAAATAAGTATTATCAAATGTGATGAATATTAACATTTTTTAAATTTTCTTATTGACTTTAAACAATTTTCATATCTTTTTAATTTGATTTACTATTATCAAATCAATGAAGAGAATAAAATTTAACACACCAAATTTGAATGTTAAAAAGAACTAAATATATTTTCTATAAATTCTCTCTTCTAATGACAAATTTCATGACAAGATTCCTAAAAATGAAATACAAAAATAAGTTATATAAATAAATTTAAAATAATTTTTCTCACAATTTTATTTATTTATTGTGTTCAGAGGTAAGGATATTAACTAAGCAGCCAGTCTCTTTACATATTTGTAAACATGACAAGCAAATCCGTTACAAACAGCACAAACTTCAATAGATTTTATGTATTATTTGTAGCAGATTTGCTTGTCATGTTTACAAAGATGTAAGGAGACAGGCTGCTTAGTTAATATCTTTACATCTGAACACAAGAAAATTTGAAACTGTGCTTACATTTTTTTATATCTGCATGCTGTTGATGTTGTCCTTTTTCCCCCCAGTTCATAATAGTATGCAGTTTTCAATGACAGAGTTACAACCATGACATTTTTAAATAAAAACAAAGTATAGATAACTCATTATAAAGTCAAAGATTGATTTGACATTGTATGTTATGAGCCATGCTTTTAAAATGATATTAGAAAAAAAAAATTATCAAAATTGAAAAAAAAATTTTTTTTTTCAATTTTCATAAATGTCATGGGTTCAGGAAGGTCTATTCGCTCTCTCTCTCTCTCTATATATATATATATATATATAATTATTTTTTATAAAAAAAAAAAATTATAACATAAGTATGTTATAAAATCACTACAAAAATAGCCATTTTGTTTCAACACACTGTGTCTTATCAAGTGATGTTGAAAAGAAAAAAAAAAATCAATTTTTTTTTCTTTTCAACATCATCACTTGATAAGACACAGTGTGTTGAAACAAAATGGCTATTTTTGTAGTGATTTTATAATATACTTATGTTATAATTTTTTTTTAAAAAATAATTATATCTGCTCTACTTTTGTATTGAGCACTCTTTTAAGAATAGTTATTGGAATTGTTGGTTATTGGAATTCATATACTTTAATATATATATATATATATATATATATATATATATATATATATATATATATATATATAAATGGTAGTTTCTGTCTGTTTGTTATCAAACTCCCCTTAGGGTTTTGGAAATAGACCTCCATAACCATATATATTCTGAAACTACATTACCCAGGGTAATTGGAACTTGGATAAGTATATTTCATTTTGATCAAAAGGAGTCCTGGGAAACACAACACCCCCCACCCCCACCGGAATTTTTTTTTTCCCTTTGATTTAAATTAAATTTGAATAAAGGAATAACTCCTATCCAAAATGTAGAAAAAGAAAGCCAGAAAATGGATGGCACATTGGCAAGTTCATTTTGATCAAAGAGGGTACCTGAGAGGTACAAATCCCATTGAAAATTTTTTCCCCTTTGATTTTAAATTTAAACAAGGGATTGACTCCTATCCAAAATATAGGAAGGAGAAAATCAGAAGATGGAGGTCACAAGATCAAAATGAGACAATATGGACATCAAACTGAGCAAGAAATCACCAATCAGTAGGTAGTGCCTTACAATAAATATTTGTTGTGACAATTCAACTGTCATATCAATGTTGAAATCTGCTCTTCAATTCATTCAATCATGTATTGCATTAAATACATATCAAAGGTGTCAGATCAAGCTGTATTGGCACACATCCACCACTACTTAAATTTTTTTCCCCTTTGTTTAAATTAGATTTAATTTTGAACAAGAGAATGACACCTATCCAAAATATAGAAGTCACATTGGCAAGATCATTGAGTAATATTGAAATGCATCATTTTTCTCCACAAATTAAAACGATGATCTAAAATGAATCATCATTTTCTTACAAAAAAAATGTGTGACACACAGCAAGGTGCAGTGAATTATAGTCTACAAAAATTGTTTAAAAAATAAATAAAAATAATCTTCCCTATTTTTTTTTTTTTTTGAGCAAATCAGTCAATTTAAGTAGTTACTAACAAGTTAAGCAAAATAACATTAAATGTTTATTATTGCTGCCATATCTGGGCTGGAGTCTTGTGAAGGGCCGGGGGGGGGAATTATTCTCCATTCTGTATCCTCTTTTCCTACAGACATCATTGCAAGCCGAAAACTACTTTCTGCTATTTTCATGGCAACTCTTCAAATAAGATCCACTCTTCAGTTCCACCAGTTCAGACATTTGCAGTTAGGATACAACATGCTAGTTCCACAGGGTCAAATCACCCTCATTTCCCCCTGATTTATTATTACAGTTTTAAAAATAACCCTCTACCATGACTGCTTCTTGAGCATTGAATTGGATGAAATTCAGTATTAAAAATATAAGACCTAACCACATTTTTGAGAAACAATTAACAGATGCCCCAAAATAAGTTATTTATGTACATGTGGCTGCTGCTAACTGCAACACAGCAAAAATGGCACATTGTAACACAATTTTCATTAGCACAACACCATCAAAATACACTCATTTGAAGACTAAAGTAATTTTCAATCCAACTGAACAACTGGTTTCTGAAAAATAATTATCAGTTGACAAAAAAAAAATGAAAAGAAAACTTATCCATGGGAAGTAACCAGATGTCTATTAACTGCTAATTACAGAGTAGGTTCCATTTTTCTCAAGAAACTCATAAGGAAAAGCAGGAAATAGTCCTTAAAGCTTAGTGATAATTTGCATTTGAAAATCATATGAATTCTATAAATAGAAAGTGATTTCAACATAGGCTGCTTTAGGTGGCATTAAAGAAAGTTGGTAGTGACACAAATCTGTCTAGTTTAATGCAATAAAGCTAGAAATAATAAGCAGCTGACTAATGGATCTCTTGTCCATTGGAGAGTGATTTGGTATTGAAGAATCAGTTCCAGTACATTGTAGTCAGATAATACACAATGCAAGCAGCCAATCAAATGTCTAATCCCAATTCCATTGATCGAATTACTCTAATAACAAATTAGCAACATCACTCATGGAAAGTTATTTCTCTTAGAGTTGACTATTTCTATCTTTTGGACAACAGAGCCTGACAGAATTTCTGAAGATATAGGCAATAATCAGAAATTGAGGTTTCAACATTTGGACTGAATGCATGTTGTACTAAGAAATAATCAGTCAATAAAATTTAAAAAAAAAAAAAAATTCTAAAAACAATGCATTTGCATTTTACCAATAGAAAAAATGCCAAAGAAAAAGCAAAACATCCAAAATTAAAATAAAAAAAAAATTAAAAATTAAAATAAAAAAAAAATCCAAAATTAAAAGCAAGAAAAAAAACAAATACAAAAAAAAAATACAAAATTAAAAACAAAAGCAAAATTTTAAATTTCCCTACCCCAAAAACAAATGTTTTTTTTTATATTTATACTGAACAATTTCCACATAAAATCTATCCAGAAAGCATCCAGCAATTTATCATTAACAAAAACAAAATATGCCTACCTTAGGGTCATTGCCCTAGGTATTCCATTTGGGTAACTAACTTTTGTCCCAGCATCGGTTCCACTTTTCAAAACAGTTTGTAACATCTGCTTTTAGAACTACCATTAAATATACCCGCGTGTTCTAACCTCCTCCACAGTCGAGCATTTCCTCCCTTTCCATTTTAACCTTGGGGGAAACTAGACATTATAGGGAGACAAATCTGAACTGGTTGGGGAGGGAGTGTCTAATAATTCATGGGTAATGTTTTGACCCCAAATCCCTGAACAAAACATGAAGAATAGTCAGACACTTTGTCAAAAGAAATGTAATAAATCACACAGTACACAAACTCAATAACATCTCACTACTGAGTAACCTCACAGGAGAGTATCTGTTTATGCATATGCATTAAGGTCACCTGATTGGTTGCCAAGTTATATTAAAGCCACTGTTTCCAGAGATATTCAAAATGTCTGGATATATTCCAAACAGACAGCATTAAATTTGATAAAAAGTTGTCAAAAGTGATCACCTCAGCTTCATCAAGTCTTCTTTCCAACCAGCCTTTTGTTTCTTCTGTTGATACCAGTTGCCCTTGAATTTCTTCCAGGGTTGCTCGAAGTTTCTCCACTTCCATACTGTTCTCCTTTTAAAAAAAAATTAAAAAAATAAATTCTGAATTCATTGTAGCAATATGTATAATATTTACCAAAATTGCTAAAAGCATTTCTGACCAATCCAATAAGATAGTCTTTCAGTAAGTAAGAAAAAAATTTGAAAGGCTTACTTAGGTCCTAACAGCATTAAGAAATGGTCTGGATTTTTTTTTTTTATAGATCTTGCTATATAAATGCTGAAACAGCTTCAAATTGTAATGCTTTGTAAAAATGATTTTTTTTCTTTCTTTGCAACACAAAATTTGTTCTCTAATTTTTGGTAAAACTCATTCCTTTCAGAAAAGATAAAAATGTAGCAGATTATCAACAACAGACAACAATTAAAAAAAAAATGTCACTAAGACAAAAGGAGTTACAGAGAGTGAAAAAACTGAAAAAGAAATATTAAGAAGATATTAAAAGACCAAGATTCAAGGTCAAAAATGGCAACAGACTTTGCGTTTCAATTTTTGAAGATTGTAGTTGAAAAGCATTCCATGAGCAAGGAGTGCCAGAGAAGAAACCATGAGCATAGAACTTATGGATTCAACTAGCGAGTTCAACAGTGTAATTATGAGACCAAGCTGCCAATCTAGTACTGCACTTAAATCCATGAAGTCAAGATACCAAAGACAAAAGCTCATCAAAACAATTGCCATGAAAATATTTACAAAAAAAAAAAAAAAAAAAAAAAAGGGGGTACATGAAAGCTACATTACTGCAGTGGAAAAAAGTGACTGAACCAAAACACCAGGTCAAGACTAATGACATTTCAGATTGTTCTTCAGATATTACACACACTTATAACAGAAAAATATTTTGAACCCACAATCTTTCTATCACTTTTAAACAAGACCATTTTTTCTCTGGAAGTGGACATTTGATGGATGTATATCAAAAGTTACATTTTTTTTTTTTATATTAGAAAAGATTTACAGATTTTAATAGTAAATAAATAGTAAATAGTAAATTAATAGTAAACCAATGAAGCTGCCAATCAAAAGTGATTCACTCACAGATTATTAATAGCAAAATGATCCAGGTCCTGTATACTTGTTTCTTGCCATAACATAGTAAAAATGGCAAGATGTAGGTCAATTTTTATAAGAGAAATTTAACAGTATTAAACTAACTTGAAGAATAAAGCAATTTCTGGTCCAATCATGCAACTGGTTTCCAAGTAAATTTTATTTCAATAAAGATTAACAAGAAAAGAAAATTTGTTCAAGCAAGATAATAAGAATTCTGTGGAGAGCACAAAATGTTATTAGGGCTTTACAAACAGATATTTTTTTAAATTATATATAAACATACACAAATATTAAAAAAAACAAAAAAAAAAAAAACAGTTTACACTATTTATATGTGAACTAATGTCCTCATCTTGTACCCTCTAATTTTCATTACATGTATGTTGATACAAGTAACCTTGTAAAAAAAAAAAAACAGTTTTTGTTTGTTTAGCAGCATATCATTATGAGTCATTTATTGCCAAAATTTAATTTTCTTGGGATCATTAATAATTTTTCAATTATTGCTGGTCCTATTTTTCTTTTTGAAATGTATTATTGGTAATATTTTTTTTTTTTTTTTTTTTTAATATATTGCAATTAATTTTTTTTTTTAATTTTTTTTTTACATAATGTATTTCTGGTAATTTTTTTTTACTATGGAAATGTATTGCTGATATTTTTTTACTATAAAAATGTATTTTTATACTTTCATAGTGTATTGACCCCAGTTTGGGAAGGTTAACTATTTGCCTATAGCTGGGATTAACAGGTGTTACCACCCCGGTTCAGGTTGAACCTGGGAACAACAGCAATTAAGAGGTGGTTCCACACTCCTCAAAACCTCCAGTCTCCCGCTAAGTGGCTTTGCTGCCAGATGTAGTTTATCATCATACCCAGGATGAAGAATGTTTGAGAAACTTTACATTAAGTCTAAGCAACCTTTTTTTCTGTATGCAGAAGAACTGGTCAATGGATCTAAATGTAATCAATCTGATTTATCATTTCTCTGATAGTATTATATTTTTTGTTCCCCGCCCCCACTTTTTTAATAATTGCGGATATATTCATGTTTTGTCCTCAATTGAGCACTGAAGTGCAAGGAGAAGTAACTGGTCAGCTATTTTTTGTTGTTTTTTTTTTTTTTTTAATATCTTTATCCCCCACTTTATGGAGAGTAATATATATATATATTTTTTTTTTTTTTTTTACTCTTCCTTTTTTTTTTCCCTTCTTTTTGTTTTGTGTATATATATTTATATATACTTTTAAAACATCCATTTTTAAAGACCTAATAATACAAAGCCTATTAACTTTTAATTAATTTGTTTTCATTTTTTTAATCAGAAAATTATGAGAATAAACAGGGCCAAAAGTGAAGCTGGCTGATAATTAACATTTACAAGTAAATTCTATAAATAGTGACTTGACATGCAGAGACTGCCAAAGGCAGAATTTGAGTGAGTGAAAAAAAAAAAAAATCCTTGATAGTTTCATAGGAAATTTGATCATGGATCTAAAATTTTGCTTAACTTGTCATAATGAATATATCAGTTTATAATTCAATATGCCGACAGATACACATACAAATGAGCAGGATATAGTGATAGTCAAGCTGAGATCTGAAAACTAACATTGCCTGCTGCTATGAATAAGAACCTCAGAGAAAGTTACTTTTTTCAATGTCACCTTCAAATTTTGATTCACCTGATACACACACACACTTATTTCTGCTGACCTTCAGAGTACATAACGCTTTCCATATTTCTGTGCTCTCCCAAAAATGGATACAAAAAGAATTTGTTTAATTTCCTTTAGCATACTGGCAGAAACTAACCATGAACAGAGTTTTACAATACAACAAAAGAACAAATAATAAAAAAAAAATACTTTTCCAGACAAAAATGGCTGGTTGCTCTTCCTAAAGAATCAAATTCAGGAAAATGCAAGGAAGCCAGTAATTCTGGTTCCATGGTTTACATTCTAAATATGAGTCAAAAGTTAACAAAACTCATTAGATACACTATTTATATTCAGGCTATTGTCCTCATCTTTGTTGTTGTTACCACAACAGTCCAATAGGACAATGGCCAAGTGGATAAAAGCATTTGTTTGTGAATTTCATGACAGTGGCTGTGAGTTCAGGCTGTGTGTACTTGTACTCGGTGGAATCAGGTGAACAATAAGTGAACATTACTAAATAAAATAAGAACTAGACAATATCCCTAGACATCAGCAGTGGAACGAGAACAGACTACACCCATAGATTAAATAAAAGGTTCAGTTTGGAATTCCCTGTATACTATACAGATCAATATATGCCAGAGGAAGGCCAAAGAGCATAACAGCCGAAACATTGTGATAACAACAAAAAAGATGAGGACAATAATCTGAATATAAATAGTGTAAATAATAACTCCTCATTCTAGAAATTCAGAAAAAAACTCATTAGACTTTAAAACTTTTACTCGTTTGCTAAATACTGTAGCAGACACTTGTTTGGCCAGATGCATATATGTTAAAACTCCCATTAGCAACAGTGATCCTTTTTGCACTTTTTGGGCATGCATAAAACCAAAAAAAAAAAAAACGTAAATATGTACAGTATAAATCCCAAGAGGCTAGTCCTCTTTCATACTACAATACAGATGACATAGAACACAAAACTCAACCATCCTAAGAAACACATATGGTTCAGATAATACACCTCACTCATTCTTTCACTCACCAACAGAATAAGTCTCACGTCATCCATTTCTTCCTTTTTACAGAGTCTATCACTAAGAACATTCTTTCAGGAACTATCCTTGAAAATTCTCTATACTAAAATTTCCCCATTTCATTTTATTCTTGCTTGTGTATTTCTTTCAACCAATTAAACACAAGTGGCTTTTGTTTAACACATAACACCTTCTCAATCTCAAATGGCAACACAAATACAATTTTAATGAAACATGCAAATCAAAATTCATGAACAAATTTTGATATGCACACACACACAAAAAAAAAAAAAAAAAAAAACACACCTCAAAACAATAACATCTTTTTTTATTTTTGCTTTTTGGTATTTTTAATCTTCATTGAAACAGCTTTGTAGGGGGACTTTGAACAAATTAGATTTGGTTCCAGACCAACAAAATAAAATGAAAATTACAATAAAATGAGTCACATTTTTTTTTTGCTTCCCAGTGCATATTGAAAATTATTTACACTCACCTACAGACTAGTAAAAGTGCAAGAGCGTTTGATCAAAAAAAAAAAATTAAGAATAATTTATTTGAGCCTTCAATGAGTCAATCTTTTTATTAAGCTTAATTATTTGTCGTTTTTTATTTAATACATGTCATCCTGGCATCAGTTTCAACTGACACCTTTTTTGATTTTTCCATAAATTGTGATCATTTTACTTAAAGTTCATATTTTCTTGATTTCAAATCAAATCTTGGAAAATTTCTGATATATTTCAGTGAAATTTTCACTTCCCAAAGTTATAGTTTACAAGTTTTGATATATGGAAAAATATAAGCATCAGTTTAAACTTATACCAGGAGAATAAAGTGAGGGACATGCAATTCTTCTATTCATTCGAACACTTAGAGGCCATTGTACAATCATTAATTGACCTAAGATGAAAAAGTTTGAAATATTTCAAGAGCTACCAAAATGTGATAAATTGGTTAGCAAAGCAAGTCCAGTAGTCAATTACTATTATATAGAAGGTACAATTCTCCTTGGGTGCTTCACATTTGTGTCCTTGGGCCAGACAATGCAAAACCTGGGCAATAATAATATTCTTTTTCAATGTATTATGACTGCTGTCTTTATTGTTGTTATTAATCATAGTTCAGCTGATACATTCATTTTGCATTTAATGATCTTCCAGTACTTTTTCTTTCATCCTTTCATCTCTTCAGTAAGAACCCCAGACACAAACAATTTTCAGGATTAAAACTGAAGAAATTTTTAACAAA